TTGAAAGCTGCATAGACAGGCAGACCTGTGCACGCAGCAGAGAGCTTTCAAGGGCTGTGAGAAGTACTTTAGGGGTGTGAAGTGCCCTTGTAGCGATGCCCATGATGCTTAGAGATGGAAGCCTGCAATGACTTTGGCTGGTGCCTGAAATCTTGCATATGCCTTATACAGATCGCGATGGGGTGGGATGATGAATCTCAAACGAATGGGAGGGTGAATATACGATCGCATGGGGCGCACGCCTGCGGATGACATTTACGTAAGCTCAGGGGCAGGCGCTTGCAAGAACAGAAGATGCAGCTTTTCATCTGCGTTTAACATTCGAAGCCAAGATGGACAACATAGCATGGCAAAGTAAGCAAGCTAAACCATGATCATTTCGAATCTTGCTGAAGACCTTCTATTACGCCAGGCAGGTTCTGGAGACTTGTTACCTATACGCGACTCCTGAACATCTTTCTGTGGTTGTAAAGTGAGAGGGTGAGGGGGGGGGAGGGGGCTGGGGCTGAGTGAGCGGCCATGTGTAGTCTAGTGATAGTTGATGATACTTGGTTTTCCAGTTGACACTAGGCTCACTAGGCACCACCTGTGTTGGTATACAAGCGTTTATGGACAGCACACCGCCGTTCATCAAGAACGCCACTTCTTGGAATCATCTTTTTGGACAGTTTGAGTCCCTTGTTGTGCGTTCAACGTCTGGAGGTTTGGGAAGAAGCCGGAGGTCTTTGGGTGTGAGGGTCTTCAACTCCTGGCTTTCTAGGTGCGTTCGGCTGTTTGCTTCGGCGTCTGCGAGTGGCGTCGATCTTCATTTCAAGCCCCAAAGCCATGGCTACTGAACCCGAAGTGCCGAAGTAGTGAGCTTTAGGGTTTAGGGTATGGGGTTGAGGGTTTAGGGTTTAGGGCGAAAGATCATTACTCCGGTGACCGTGGAGTCCACTCGCATGTCCGACGCGAGGAGTGGGTTCGGTGCGAGTTTCCACTGGGTTGACCTTGGGCTCATTTTTCTGTAGGACAAAAACTGCCCCTTGATGCAGCAGAACAGTGTTTCGGGTTCCTTGGGTTGTTGTACCTCTATGGGGAAGACATGCACACTGCCAAGGCCAACGGCCTGAGCCCCAATGAAAAGAGGAGCCAGGAAGTAAGAAGCAAGCGAGTTCATTACAAATTGCCCACGGGGAGAGTCGGTTAGAGCTTGCAGAGTTCTTCACGTAACTGTCAATCGGCAGACGGCCGAGTCTTCTACGTTAGGACCTGCTACGGCACGAATCTCAAGTTTATATGGCAAGAAGCCTTCAGGTCAACCCGATGCATATCTCGCCAGGTATCAATCAGCTGGAGTCCGTTTTGTACTGCTTGCAGCTTGCAGTCGACACACGATACCAAGTTACAAGTAGGTAGGGTTGCAGGTGTAGAGCTCTACCATTCTACCTCTACTACCCGAGCAAGCTGCTGCTTGTGTTTGAAAGTCGGCAAGTTCGGAAGGGTGCAGGCGCCAACGTCGCAGTGGCATACGGTGCTTCAGTGCTGTAGGAAGCCCGCCCAAGGTTCAGCCCGAGAAAACCTGTAGAGGGGGGGAGAGGGGGGGGGGGTGTCACAAGCAATGAGAGGAACCATGTCACAGCTGCGGTCTGGGAGAGCAGATGACCCCTCCTGAAGCCCAATCCTGGGAGCACACCGATCACTACTGTGACTCTTTAAAGGCGACCACGCCAGACAGCAAAGGCGGGGCTATGCACTGCTGGGAGGCATGCGTCCTCGTAAAGTCGAGGCTGACGATGAGCTAGCATCCATCCTGTTTCAAGGACCGATAAATCAACAGTTAAAGGTGCTTCGCGGATGCTCCTGGCCTGCAGCGCTTTAGTTTGCAACGACTGCGCATAGCTGCAGTGCAGCTCTTCCGGTACTCTCGGTTTCTGCGCCGATCGGACGCTGGTCCCTTAACAAGCCCCAGCACTGCACAGTGGAAAATCATCGACTTATTCCTCCGGAACGATACGCAGAAACTCGGGGCGTTTTGGAGTGCAGAAGACGTCGAAGCATGGCATGGAATTTCTCTTCTTCCCAAAACTCATGTTGGCCATGCAAATCCTCAAACCCTTCAAATCCTTGACCTTTTCCGCAGCATGTCACGAGATCCGAAAAAGGTCACAGAGAGGAAGGCATCAGCGGCTTCAGGGGCTTCGGGGAGTGCACGTTTGGCCACAACTCCTGGTGCTACTGGATGAAGAGCGTTGCTGGCAGGGTCTCGTGCTCGGGGGTGTGGCGTCCTGGCAGCGCCTAGGGCGAATCGACAAGGCCGGATGGGATCTTGTCGGAATTCTAAGGCTACGAGAGGCTCTTGCATGCAGACTGAGGCACCATCGCATCCGCTGTTCCTGTTTGCATTCCTGGACTCAAGGTGCAGAAGAAGGCACGCGACAAGGAGATCGATGAGGCTACGCGCGTCCCAAACTCCAGCAGCCCTACTCGTTTTAAAGCCTGTTTTGGTGAGTCCGCTTCTCCCACAACAGGTCATCGATGCCTTGAAGTCGCAGCCCGACGGCACGCCCGACATCGTCGAGCGCATTGGGGATCAGGGCAAGCAGGGGCCTCGGCCTGTGGCGTTGAGTTAGAGGTTGCGTAGAACCCCAAACCCCGAAACCATCTATAATTCCCCTTCAACCCCCAACAGCCTAACTCCCAAGGTTGCTCTGTCCCTAAACCCTGACAAAATCCTTGAAACGCACAAGCGCCGGAGTCTCCGCAGAACCCTGAAGCCGACATGGACTGTAAACCACCTCCCCCCTCCCCTCACAGGATCCTCACGGAGGGCCAGCTGAAGGAAAAGAAGCTGCTAACGGACAAGACCAAGGACAGCGTTTGGGTGTGTTGAGACATGTTGGGACCAGGGCCCCCATAGCCGGGACAGACGAAATACAGTCCATCTGCCAGGATCGCCTCCTCAAGCGATGAGGGGGGGCGCCCTGCATGCCTGCAACTGCACGTCTCTCCAGCTTGCAGTTGGCCTACACGTGCCACGTGCACTGACAAGAAGTCTTCAGGCGACTGAGGCGCCAGTGAGATAATGGATGCCCTGCAGTACCTGAAGGCCCGAACATTAACCCGATTGCTGCCCGAAGGATGGCGTTTGCCAGGTACTGCAGGATCTGCGATATCAGAAGTGCGACGTTCAAGCCGGGTTCACTTTTTCAAAACCCCCGCGAAAACCAATGCATCGGGTGAATGAAGGGTGCCGGTTCCGTGTCGAGAGGTGCCAAATTCTCCGAGATAGGGTAGGTTGCCCTGAGCAAAGAGCACTCAGTAGAGATGAAGCCCTGCATTGTAAGCTTAGGGCTTTAGGAATTTTAGGGTTTAGGCAGTTTCGGCTTGAGGGTGGGAGCTCTTGGCAAAGCGGTTTTGTCGGGCGGCGATTTTCCCACGCAGCCACGCTCGTCGGGATGCCGAGGATGCACGTCAGAGTTTCAGTTCCGAATTTCATTCGTGTTAAGGAGCCGTCAAGGGGTTTGGCAACAAGTAGTCAGGCAGTCCACCGCGCAAAGCAACCGAAGTCCCGATATTGCCCGTTAAGAACGACTACGTTGCGACATTAGGCAGCCATCCCGAATATGTGAGAGCAGTGTGAGAGCATTCGTGCGATTTCGTGCGCGTCTTGCAGAGTGTGGTTTCGTGCCGTGAATCCCAGACCAAGCGCGAGAATCCGGGTTCCAAAAGCTGCGATCGGTTTGGGAAGCTTTGGCCTCCAGTAGCATGTGGGGGTTTCCTTTTTAGGGTACCTATTTCTAGGGGATTCTACTCAACTTGGGGCATGCAGCGGGGTGCCCCTAGTTTGGGACATGCTCATTTTGGGGTTGTGGGGACAGTCCCGCAGAATCCCGAGAGGCCGGCCTTTGAGTGCCCAAGCAGAGGGTCTAAGAAATCTGCCCTTGGCCAATCCTTTTGCAGGCTGGGGGGCCCTCGCTAGATTCGTTAGGAAGATCCATGTCCAAGGAGGACAACGAGAGAGTGCTTTCAGCCACCTGCCCTTTCAGGCCCTAGGCATGCATCCCCCTATTCAACGCTCGGAAGAAAACTATCAACATGGAGCTCCCTGAGCCCTGGGATGCAAGGATTCAAGGCGTGGTGCTTAAGGCTGTGCCGTATAACTCATGTATAGCTATGTATAGCTCATCTCGTATCTAGACGCCCCTTGTATTCCCATACTGGCTCCATACATCCAGCAGCGCTCTGGCCCAAGACACCAGAGTACGGGTTGAGGCGCGTTGCCAGAGGCCCGTCCGCTGCCATACGCAGCAGTCTCTCAGAGTGTGTCTGCCTTCAAAGTTATGTACAAAACACCAAGGCCACCTAACGCTGCACTGCTTTCGGTTTTCGCACACACATGCGCAATTGTACCGCGACCACGACGAACACGACGACCACGACGACCACGACGACCACTACCACGACCACCACCACGACCACGACCACGACCACGACCACCACCACGATGACCACGAGCGCGACCGCGACGACGACGACGACCACCACCACTGCCGCCGTCGCCGCCGCCACCACCACCACCACCACGACGACGACGAGGACGACGACGACGACGACGACGACGACGACGACGATGCACAACGCATTGCACAAGGATGTGGAGCACCACACGCCGCACGCTGTCACGGGTTTCAAGGCCTTTGCGAAACAAACGTGAGCTTTCAAAGTTTTGCTCCGGGTCCTGCTTAAAACCTAGGCGAAAACGCAGTTTACTTCAGCCTCTAGTGTTTCGCGCGCCTGAGTTTCCGGGAATTTTCCTCGAAATGTGCTCCCGCTCGGGTTTCGTGCATGCCTCTGCAGATCCCTAACAGGGAGCCGTCGCCGCGTTTGAATAGTCCAGCACAGACAGGTGTGTCCTTGCATTCAACCGGCTGTAGCATTGGAGCAGTGACCCGGACCTGAACCCTACACGACCCTTGCAAAGCTTCTCCGAAACTTTGGAGGCACCAGCTCCCAACGACATGACGGACCGCTTCTACCCGGTTGGCCTCGAGGTGGGCGTCTGCGTAAAACTGAGAGCGTTGCTCTATTCAACACCCGAACCTGAAGTGTTGAATCAGGCCCTCCAGCCTCTCAAAGCCCCTCAAAACGCGGCTGAACGCAGCCCAAACGCAAAGCTTTCTAGTCCAGATTCCTGCATCGATTCCGTCAAGAGTGCAGCTGACCAAGCACCGGCTCTCAACACAGTGTAGTGAGTGTAGTGGAGAGCTACAAATCGCGAGCGAAAAGGCCGAAGCTGACAACTGGAAGACGACCTATGAGGCTCGGGGGTCACTTGTGGCGTCCTGGGTCACATAGTGGAAACTTGCAGTCGGTGTAACCCCTGTATGAGTGACCCTCCAGAATCCAGTGCTAAACCAAGCAGTTCTTGATACAGGAACCTTGATAGATGGGTTTTCATGAGAGTTTTCATTGCAGATTCCCATCTTGGGACCCGAGCAGAAATCCGTCGCCTCCCAGCTCCAGGTGATGAACGAGATGCGGTCGTTTGCTCGCAGCCCCTACCCACCAGGACGAGCGGGTATTGGGTCACGGGCAATTTCCAAGCTGCACGGTTCAGTGAATCGGAGTTTTGTGGCGAGCTCCTGAGTTCATAGCGGAGCTTGGAGCGGCGCAGTTTGTACAATGTACTCGTACACCAGACTGCGGCTGTTAACGGAGAAATCTCGGGACGAATCAGTGGCATACTCCCTATCCGTAAATCTTGGAAGGCACAGCCATCCACCAGCCTGGAGCTCGGGACCATTTCGGCTATAGCGCGCCGGGCCCGATCGCGAGCAGGCCCGTTTGGCTTTGGGGAAGGGTTTTGGAGGCCTTTTCGGGCAGGAGGTTGCCAAAACACGGCTTGCAGAGCTTTTTCTTCAGATGGCCGATCGGGTTTGCACACCCAATTCTCCATCATGGGCCTGCGCTATGCTGATTGTTTCCCCGGAAGACCTTAGTGGCCTTAGTGACCAAGTGTTGGTTTGCAATTTGATCCCAGCATTCCCGGGCAGCCAGGCTCGTGCTCGTCGCGTTGTACGCATGTACATATGTCATTCACGAAAAGTACGGTTTTTCTCGCATTGGCCGACAGGTGCATAAGTTGTCAGTCATGCTTTCACTGTGCACATGTAGTTGGACACTGGCCTTCGTGTCGTGACTTTAAAAGGCCTGCGACAGTTCTCGCGTTGCCCCCATTGTTGAGACTCGAGATTTTGGGTTCAGACGTTTCCATAGGGATCCTGAAAGCCCTTCCGAGTGCGAAGCGCAGACCATGGTCCGTCAAGGGAGTTCGTCTTAAGTCCTCCGATGCACTCCTCCTTGCTCCTCTGAGCCAGGCTGACGAACTCCGAGCTGGTCTGGGCACCCAATTCCTGGACCAGTTCAAGCGCGGGTGAAGATGTGTTGAAGCTCTTTGAAGACTGTTCGGCCCCGTACCCTCGTTTTCCGAATCTTCTCCAGTGTTTAGGAGGCCCGGTCAATCTTCTCCAGGCCCTCACGGAAGACACAGACATCCCCAACCCGCGCGAGCACATGGCCATCACGCGCATCCAGGCGGGTTTTCTAGGTGCTGAAGCCGGCAGTTCCCAGACGCGAGGTGACATAATCCTGTGATGAAAGGAGCCGGATGACCGTAGAGTCTTCGAGAAGCATGATGTGGACGAGATGTTGAGGCGCGCTTAGAGCACTTTTGAGGCAGAGAACCATGCTAATCATCGAACCATCGTAGTAATCGTAGTACTACAAACAGTAGTAGCAGTAGTAGCAGTAGTAGCAGTAGTAGCAGTAGTAGCAGTAGTAGCAGTAGTAGCAGTCGTAGCAGTCGTCGTCATCGTCGTCGTCGTCGTCGTCCTCGTCGTCCTCGTCGTCCTCGTCGTCCTCGTCGTCCTCGTCGTCCTCGTCGTCCTCGTCGCCCTCGTCGTCCTCGTCGTCCTCGTCGTCCTCCGCGTAAGAGCAGCAGTATCAATCCTCTTAATAGTCTCTTAATGAACACAAGCATCACAATGATGATACTGTATTTTACCTGACAGTGAAGAATCATAACGGGCACAAGAACCACAGTAGGGATAACAATCAGAACAAGGGCTCTAGAGCGGCAAGCCCGGAGCCACGTTGTTGGCGTAGCGTTGCCTCGAAGAAGCCCGCCTTTGCCGCAACTCGTGCAAGAGCACCCACAAAAGGGGCAACCTCCGAAACATGTGAATGCCCATGCAACAGCTCGAATCCGCGCTCTTTTGGCAGCTCTAGGACCTACAACTCGCCAGTGGCCAAAGCCACCCTGTCGCCGAGCAAGCCGCAGTCGCTGGCAAAGGCGCGCGTTTTGGGCTTTTTGAGGTTGGGGTTCAGGGTTGAACAACAAGTCATCATCATCATCATCATCATCATCATCATCATCATCATCATGATCATCATCATCATCATCATCATCATCATCATCATCATCGGGCTCAGAACCGCTCCACAAGTAGGCATGGGAATCGTAGTAATCATAGCAAAGGGGAGTGAGGCAAACGCTCCCACAGAAGCTGTCAAGCGCAGTTGTGTCCGGGAGAGCTGGGAACCCTGCTTCTTCAGGAGACCGCCCTACGCGGCACAAAATGAGACCACACACACACAACCCCCGAAGCTCAAAGCGCCGAAGACCTTCTCGCTGCCCACCATCTCTCGGCGGAGCGAAGCGCCGCCAAAGCTCTCCGAGGTTGGGCGGGGAAGGTTGGGGTCCCCGAAAGGTCTGGCAGGTGATGACAGATATCTTTGAGAATGGTTGGGGCCTGGGTTTTGTTGTTGATCTCCCGTTCAGGGATCTTGCGTTTTTGGAGTCCGGTCTGAATGTGTCGGCACAAGGGAACTCGGTTGCGGTCAGCTTGATTTTTGGGTTTTGTCAAGGTTCGCTTCTGCGGCCTACAAACGCCCTGAGCCCCTGTTTGTGTTGTGCTCTTTATGTTGCAGCACTAACAGTGGCAGCGGATGTGGGCCTCGTCACCCTGCAGCATTCTCAAGCTAGATCGTTGTCCTCCCATTCAACTTCATCAGTAATGGCGCCTTCTCCGGTCAAGGGGCCAGGTCCTGCACCTAAGATTGGAGGGGTGCTAGTGCACAATGGCGGCCGAGCGGATGAATGTCCAGGCTCCTAAACTCCCATAAGCTTCCTAAATCTGCAGTCCTGTTAAGCCATGGAAACCTGCCCCAAACTTGGCTTCTGTCCCAGCGCAACCCGGTCATCAAGAAGTTGGAAGACGCACACTTCTCTTACTTCGCAGGGCGCTGAGCTACTCCGGGCCCGTGGCCCTAAACCCTTAACCCCAATCGCACAGACACAACCACGAACTGACTGAACCCTAGTTTGGCAGCTTTTGCTTTCCGATTGTACACACAATGTTAGTGCTCCCAAATTTTGATCTGATTTGATCTGCGGATGCCCGAATCCCAATGACAGTTCGGTTGTGTCTGAATCCCATTGTCGTCTTGAAGGGCCGATTCATGTCGTTCGCGCCTCAGCGATGATCGGAAAGTGTGGAACTTTGACACGGACAATAGGTGTATCCCGAAGAAACCTAAAATTCTACAAGCTTTATTGTAGGAACCCAGCCAAGGGCACCCCTATTTTCGGAAATGCCCACATGCTGCTTTATTTAAGGAACTCCCAGCTCGGTCCCCTGAATCCATTGCCCGAGGTGCCCAAAAACATGCAGCGTGAGCACAAGCCGCTCGGCGAATCTCTGCCAGGGTGGTTCTCGGGTTTACTGCAGACGAGGGTTTCTGCAGGCTCTTGGTTTTCCAGTACTTGAACACGTGCTGTTCTTTCGGGTGAGTTGGCACACTTCAGGACTGAAAGAAAATGTAGAGGACGACCCCTCTCTGCCTCGGACCTCCTAAGCCCCAAGCCCCAAGCCCGAGAGCTGCTGGGGCATGTGCTGCCAGGGATCGTTTGAACACTGCCGCCCTCAGCAAGCTGAAGAAGGCGCGGCCCAGCTTGGGTTGATATTTTTTAAGGCTTTAAGGGCTGCGTGTGGTTCTCTAACAGATCTAGCAGGTTGTGTCGGTAGCTGGCATGGGTCAGGGCTGGGCCCCTTGCACTCTCCGCGATGTGCCCACGTGTGGTGTTTTGCCATAGCATGCCTGTGCACACCTTCACGAAGCTCTGGCCATTTTGTCCCTGATACTTGGTCCAACGGGCATGGCTCTCAGGCGAACATGATCTCCTTCCCCTTCACAGGCGCTGCCGCGAGACACCCCTTCTTTTTTTGTTGTTGGCCCAAAGCTCCGAAGCCTATTCCCCTGCCTAATCTCTCCCCTACTGGTGTAGCTGGAGTGTAGCAGGGTGCAGTGTCTTGCCGCCGGGGGCCAAGCTAGGTGTTCCGAAGCCCAATTGGGGAAACCAGGGGTCGACCCAAAATCTCACGGTTGTCCAGCTCTGGGCGCTGAAGTCTCTCTAGGGATTTGGGGTTTGGTCGGGGGTGTGTGGGGGTCGGAAGTCGGTGGTCCTGTGTCCGAAGCCGCCCTGCTTGCAAGGCGAGGGCACTGGATTTCGGAGCCAGGGCGGCTTGGCATGTTTCCTTCTTTGCTTTGGCACTGCATTTCGTCTTGGATGAGCCGGATGAAGGGTTGGGTATGAAGGGCTGATCTCAAGGTGGAGCCCAAACATGCGCCTGTTCAAGCCACTCGCCATTTTGACACCCGAAAGTGTCAGCACCGTACACGTGCCCAGTGCGACTACATGTGACTTTTCTAAAATCTTTAAAGCCCCAAACCCGAAGCCACCGCCAGGCTCGGGCGCAAACTGGTGGCCTTCGGGTAGCTACGCCCAGGTGCCCACCTCGTGACCTGGCAAGGACTGGGATCCACAAGACTCCACTGCTACAACCTCTGGTTGTACCCGTTTCCTGTTTCTATCAGGTTTGGGTTCCCATTTTCCTTCTAGGCCCCATGAAGCTAGCACGGCTTCCCTTCTTTGCTTCTTTTTATGTTGCAGGCAGGGATCGTAGGCACGTCATAGATTCGGGGCTATTGAGGGGCGCTGGTGTGTAATGGCTTCAGGCTTTAGGCTGGGTTGTTTCTGGGCTGTGGAGTGGGATTTAAGGTCAAGGTCATATTTAATGCCATAATATGATTGTTTGCACTTCGCTTCCATCCCGCGGATATGTCCCATAGGGTTTGCTGTAAGGCTTTGTGCCTGTTCGGATCTAGGGTTTGAAGGGTGTTTTCGGGGTTAGGGTTTAGGCCAGTGTAGGCTCCACGGTGCGATAGGTTCTGGGTCCCACTCACCTCAAAGAGCGTGCGGCCTCGCGGTTTCAAGCTTTCGCGATTGAACCCTGAATTCAGGCGGCTCGGATAAAGTGGACATCACGGCTGGCATGTCTCTTTGACTCTGTTTTGTGGCTTCCTGCTGGTACCGACCACGTGCCGAGGTACCGCTTGCAGTTTGGTCGCCCAGGCCAGGTGGGCCTGCTTCCCTTGTTTCCCCAGACCTGACCCACATTGAACTCGGCTGCCTGAGAGCTCGGGAAATGCCAGAAAGAAGCGTGACTGTAAGGACCAATACTCTTTTTACGGCATGGAGTTGGTGACGACTACTCTCTCGTCCTGCTGGAAAGACACCTGGACCTCGTGTTCTGTGCCATTGCACCACCTTTTTGACTTGCAAGCGCCCTACATCGCCAATTGCTCCCGAGACCCCCAAAAAAACCAACTGGGAGTTTCTTCGACATCCGACCTTGAGCTTGGAAGCCCTCTTCTGCCAGGCTTCTTCAGAGATAACTCGCCGCTGATGCAGAGCAAGTTCCCCCAACAGGCCTACGTGAGACACCAGCATCAAGAGCGAGCTTCAAAGTGCGAGGGTTGTAAAATTTCGCCTTTAGTGTAGCGAGAGATCCAGGGGTGCTACGCTTGCAATCGCCCTGGTTGGCCAGCAGCTCCCTGTGTTTTGCCACTGCTGTTCTCAGAGTTGTCACTCCCCCCCCCCTCAACCCCTCAATCCCAAACCCTTAACCTGTAAACGCCCTAAACCTAAACCGTTAGACCCCAGGTCCACGGTTTCAATATCCCCGCACTACATCAGCAAGCCCAAAATGTCCCATCTGCGCAGCTTCGACATCTTATGAGCTGGAGCCGGAACCCCTTACAAGCTTTGGCATGGAGGCGGTCTCTGCGGCCCAGGAGGACCTCCAATAGAAGGCCCGTTTGAGAATGCAAGAACTTCGGCGCGGGAATGGGTGGTCATATGTTGGGATGTTCTCCCTTTTTCTAACAGATCCTTAGTAGGGATTCTAGTACCCCCTATTGCAATCCCTATTAAGGAGCCAGTATAAGGGGGAACATCCCCTTGGGCTCCGAACAAGGATGCAGTAGGACCGAAGGGAAAGCTGCTTGCGCAACTCTTGGGGGACTTCTGCTGTCTCCGCCACGGACGTAGGGCAGAAGTGGCGTCTTTGTGTTTCGCACACACGCACACACCAACTCACACACACACACACACACACACACACACACACACACACACACACACACACACACACACACACACACACACACACACACACACACACACACACACACACACACACACACACACACACACACACACACACACACACACACACACACACACACACACACACACACACACACACACACACACACACACACACACACACACACACACACACACACACACACACACACACACACACACACACACACACACCAACACACACACACACACAACACACACACACACACACACACAACACACACACACACACACACCACACACACACACACACACACACACACACACACACACACACACACACACACACACACACACACACACACACACACACACACCCAACACACACACACACACACACAAACACACACCACACACACCCCACACACACCACCACACACACACACACCACACACACCCACACACACACACACACCACACACACACACACACACACACACACACACACACCACACACACACCCACACACACACACACACACACAGCACACACACACACACACACACACACACACACACACACACACACACACACACAACACACACACACACACACGAGAGAGGGAGGTCAGCCAGAGATTGTTGTACAATGGTACACTGACTGGAGATGACTGGAGAGACCTCAGTACAGGAGAGACCTCAGTATAGGGGAATCCCATCGGGACTCCTGGAAAACATTGCAGGTACATGGAGCTGGCCAAACTCCACATCCCCTGATGCTTCATAGCTTCGTTGGATTGGGTAGAAGCATCAGGCCCAATCCCCCTGCGGGAAAATTCGACTCATGCATAAGCTCTCAGCTCCAAGCCCCTTAGCTTAGAATCAGGGTTTACACACACACACCCCTCCTACGAGGGGAGACACAGTGCATTCCAAGGCCACAAGAGATATGCTGCACGCACACCCTCCGAAGAGGGAAAGTCCTGGTCTTGTACCTTTGTCACCGGTGAGTCCTCCGCCATAGGCCCGTCACCGCCATAGGCCCTCCTCCTCCAGCACCGACCTTAGAAATCCTTAGTGTCGTCGTCATCATCGTCGTCAGAGACCTCCAGCTGCCATGACAGGCCCAGGAGCGTCCAGGAGATCCCAGCTGCCACCGCCTTGACCCAAGGCACCTTCCATCATCGTCGTCGTCGTGGAGGACCCCCAGCTGCCACAAAGGACCCAGGA